TTTTTTTTTTACTCTCTCCCTTTCTCATTCAATTACTTTCTTGAACCTTCATCTGTTTTATTTTAGCACTCCTCCTTATCATTAGCATAAATAAGAGTCAAAATGTCAGACAATGCCACAGTTTGCATAATGGGGATGCAACTGTGTATGATTCTAGAGGCCCTAGCTCGTCCCACAGCGAGAGGTGTGTATTTATAAGTAGATGCATGGGGGTATCTGATGTAATATATTACTACATGTACTGCGATATAAATAACTTATCTTTCACAACAGGTGTTGTGGACGAGTGGATATGCCACCGGGCTTTGAATCACAAGGTCCGCGGTTCAAGTCCCACCGCGGCTCTAATGTCCGTTGGCAAGACATTGATCTACATTTGCCACTCTCCACCCAGGTGTTAAATGGGTACCCGGTAGGATGCGAAAGCTAATGTGATTAGATTAGCAAGTGTGCGCTTGTAAAATGACGCCTGGCTGGAATGCTCCCCAGGGAGTGGAGAATGTGCATACATTGTGTGCGGGTAAGCCTGAATCCGATGACCGAGGTAATAGTATATATATCTGTAAAGCACTTTGAGAGGGCCTCCTGTCCTGAAAAGCGCTATATAAGATCTAGTTATTATTATTATTATTATTATCAATTTGGCATAACCTAATTGTGATAATCACATTGCTTCTCTGGATGATATTATTCTTTAGCATAGTTAGCAGAAAGATAAATCAATACTTGTGTTGGAGGATATCATAAACTCTTTAAATTTGCATATAAATTTTTTCCCACACAATTCCGCCTTCTCTTTTCAAAAAAAAAAATTTCACTAAAAACAATCAAGAATTTCGAATTCACATTAGAAACAATAAAACTTATTTCTTTCTACTATTGAACCAAAGGTTAGATCAAATTTATTGATCTTTGTTATGAAAATCCTGAATTTAAAATGTCATAATCTTCTCCTAAATACCAAGAGCTGTATTTTCCCCAAGTCACAGAAAATGATAGAACAACATCTCCATCCGTATTTGATAGACCAATTTGCTTTTAGAATTCAATGTATGAATGTTTCTAGCTCTGCTTGTAAACAACTATCCATGACAACAATTACGTGTGATAGCATTTCAATGGCTGGAATTTTTTGTTTGTTAATGATTTATAAAATATAGGAAAACCCGCAGTCAAGATTGGAGTTTCAAAGACACCAAATATATTATTAATACGTAAACTTGACAAATGTTGGTAAAACACATATTTTAAGGTATCAAATCATTAAAGGGATCCGGTAACTTTGTCTTAGATCCATTTTTTTAATCCTTGATTTAGCTCATGCTGCAATGATAATTATAAACCTTTAGGTCAGTCATTAACCCCATGACTTTTACAAGCCGATCGCCTATCTGATTATCAAGATATTTATGATTGAAAATCGAAATCAAATTTTGCGTTTGCCAAACGGTTTTCAAAACACTACAGTCTATTGGGGAAAATGAGTATGGTAAAACCGGTCACTCAAAGGTTTTTACTTAAGGCACTTCATGATCATTTGGAGCGCAATTTTTGTATGGCTTCAATATAACACCATATCACAGACACTGATAACAAGTAGGGCAGTGTGTCTCATATTTAACATTGTTAAACGATCCCTTTAAAGAAAAAAACAACTGCATCTCTGGTGTGAAGCTGTAGACATGTGTTTTGCTTATTCTGCTGCATACCGGGTATATCAAACATGTGTTCACATACAGTTCATTCACACAATAAGTTTATATTTATCCTTTTTCCAATTTGAATTCTAATTACTGCATAGAACCCAAGGTAAGAGCTGATGATAAGTGACAACATTCAAGGAAAAGAAATATCTACAATATCAAGGACTATGACTGGGAAATCTAATTATTATTACTAAAAGAATATACCGGTACCTTTTAAATACCAATTACTATTACTATACAACTTTAATGATGTATCCAGTGTTGTCGTAACGGGGGGGGGGGGGGAAGCAGACATTTAAAATTTGAAAACCACAAGAGTGCTTTTTTTTGCAGAGAGAGGGCACGTGTTCTATCAACAATAAAATTCCCCTCTAAAACATTGGACGCGCATTAGCTTAAAGGGACATGGTAGTTGGTTTCCATGAGCAAGCGGTCATAATTTGCTGACACCAGACTTGGTGGAAAGTAACATTCATGGGGGTACACAACTTAAAGAGAACGTTCAGTTCTGGGAAAAGGTAAAAAATAATTTGTGAGCGTTATCATTGATATTATGCAAGTGTGGAAGAACATCAGAGACAAAATGTTCCCTGAAAAGCGTAGCTCTTCAAATTTATTTATTTATTTATTTATTTATTTCGTTTTATTTCAACAGGGTAGCCCCATCAGTAGTTAAAATACTGTTATTCTTGGGGGCCCTGCATAACATAAAATACATATAAAGACATACATATACATGAAAACATCATCACATGGTGAGTATAGTAAACATACCAGAAAGAATTACAGATTAAATCTCAAATGTAAATTTAAACTCAGCAAGTAAACAAACAAAAATCCACAAACAAAAAAATCAAGTCAACAAAAAAAAAAAATCAAGTCAAATAAAATCAAGTCATCAAGTAAATCATACATAAACAAATTTTGAAGAAGAAAAAATATTATATTGAGGTGACAGTGTGTCTAAACATAATTGTTTGTAATTTGTAGGATATTTATGAGAAATACAGTGATCTGCAATTGGTAATTTACTAAATATTGAAGTTTGTGATAGTGGCTACTTATTTGCGAGTACTTGGGTTATATTTACATGTTTCTAAAATAACTGGTGCAAAATGACTGCTTAGTTTGTGCATTTCGTAACTCACTAGGGAGGTTGTTCCATGTCATTGCACCCTCAAAGGAAAATGCCCTTCTACAATTTTCAGTTTTAACTTTGGGGATGACTAATCCACGAGTATCAGCGATTCTAGTGCTATAACGATGTGTTGCTGCAGACTGAGCAAACATATCTTGAAGATATGAGGGGGAAATACCGTTTACAATATCGAACATAAGTTTACATTTCTGGAATTGCCAATGTTTTTCCATGTTCATCCACTTGAGTTTTGAGAACATTTCTGAACTTGGTGTAAGTAAATTCATTTGGAGAACAATCCTAGCCATCTGTTTATGCAACTTAATCAGTGTATCCCGAAGACCTTGATTACAATTTGACCATGAGGTGCAGCAATAATCAAAATATGGTAATACCAGTGCATTTGCGAATAACTTGGCACTGTCTATCGTTAGATATTTTCTGACACGTCTCAACAGTGCCAACCTTGAAGCAATTTTGCTGGAAGTATGCTTCATGTGTTCATTCCTGTTAAGGTGCTGGTCCAACCAGCACCTTTCTAAGTTCTAAATATGACAAGTAACAGCTTAAAAAAGAGGCCAGTCATTATGCCACATGTTTGTGTAGTCCCATGTACATCTTTCTGTGTACAGTGCTTGTTATTTTACCAAGACTTGGCCATATTTCTTATCATTTTAATGACTCCAGAACCTTGCAGTACATACCAATACTTAGTTGCTACATGATCAACTTTTTCTTCACGACTCCACACCATTTCTTTCACAGTGCAATCGCATGACCATAACTCAACTTTATCTTTAACTGCCAGACGCAGATTGTGTGTATATCCCAGTAGACCAATTGCCAACCAAACTAACATTATCAATCTCATGACTACTATTCTAATTCATGCAAACAAGATGTCGGTCTCAAAGGCTGTTGGTCTGCTGTAGCTTACTGATTTATTAATAATCATACTTGGTTCACAGTTACTGCTATGTGGGAATGGGACTCACTTAACATGAGTTCGATCATTAGTAAACACACGTACAAACATCATATTCATCAAAACAGGAGAAGCGATAATGATGATACCCCAAAAACATCACACCAACAACAGGGAACAAACATGAAGACTATAATGCATTACACACCAGAGGGCAGCAACCCACATAAGATAAATACAGGGGAGATAAGCTTGTCCATTCCGTTCATTGTTTGGATATTATTTTGTTAAAGCTTTTCACTGCCTTTTTACTCTTGAATGCTCATTGAAATATGGCCCGTGACCCACCCCCCCCCCCCCCCAAAAAAAAGCAGCCACATAATTGTAAGTGTAAATGAAAGGAAACTATGCACACAAAGATTCTATATGGACCCTGCATACATTTAATACATTTAATGCATACCTTAATGCATACACTTAATATTATTAATTAATTGATTAATATTATTATTTATATATTATTAATATCGCAGTATTAGTCTCTTTTTGTTCCACCAAGCTAAATTTTTGCACCTTGCACAAATGCACTTCTCAACACGAAATATTTCACTAAATATGTTTTGTTATTTTCACTCAAAATTAATTCAGCCATGCTCACTTTTAATCACTTCACTTATATCTTATTTAACATTGAATACAATGCAGTTGCATGGGTTGTGCTTTTATTTTGTTAACTCGGCAGAGGCCACGGTCATCTTCAAGCATTTACGCTTACGACATGTGGTCTCCTACTTTTTCCTTTTGTATGAAACTTTTATTTTAACTAGAAACAAATTTTGTCAAACTTACATGTTATTCATTATATTTATTTGTATGTTTCTTTGTATCGATATGAAAAATTGGAAATAAAACAAAACAAACAAATATGTTTTCACTTAGCTCTCTGTTACAAGATACAGAGCTGTGAAGTATATCACACTTACGTCATGTTTACAAAAATGTAAATGCCCCGGTTTAGAAGCATCAATCAGATCAAGGCTAAACAAGAGTTTCAACAACAGATTCATTAATACTTTTGTTATGACGTAGGTTTAGTCCATTGGGATAGGGATATACTGATCAAGAAAATGCTTTCCTGAAGACATGAATGAATCAGCAATACCTCCTCAAAATGGAAATATTGAGTCAGGTTGGTTTGTTTGTTTGTTTGAATGATTGTTTGTTTGAATGATTGATTGTTTTTAGCTTTTCTATTCTTCCAACTTAGTGATTATGTCACATTACTTTCATGCTTTGTACTATATATGATATGTTACAATTACATGAATTCTGTATATAAACACTGTTGTAAATAGCTGTTATTTTATGATATGACAAATAAAGTCTCTCGAAAGAGGATAAATAGAGAGAAGAAAAATTCTTCTAACTATCTCAATTACCATCCTCCAATGAAGCTGGGAAAAATAGATCAGAAGCATGTTGCCAAATTGAAGATGTATTTTTCACCTTCACTTTATAAAATGATAGAAAAACCTGATTTACATGCAATGACTGAAATTACATCGCCTGAATAATTCATGAAAACTAATGCTCACAAATATCATACATCAAACATTATTGTTAGTCTTTCTGGCCAGTCACTTACCTGAAGCTTTCTGGGTGAGTTTATCCCTGTGAGCTGCACATACAGCAAGAAGCCTGTACCCCAAGTCTAGATCGTAACCTCCCTGCTGGGCTACTTTGCTCACAATCTACAATGAAATATTCACCAGAGATCAGCAAAATCTAACTTTTAAAGGGACTTGGGGGGTCTTTCGCCAAAGATCCAAAGTCAAATTTAACTCTAAGTTGGACTTTAAAATAATGGAGAGCCATTTGTAGCCTTAAAATAAAATATATTCAAAAGCGAAAATTCAAGTATTTTAGACTTTTTATAAATTTAACATCAAGAACATGAAATCTCTTTCATAATAGAAAATACGAATGATTTGAAACAACATTTTATGCCTTTTAAAAAGACCATTACAAAATATTTTCATAGATGCTAACAGATTTCCATAATTGTAAAGTCCAACTTAGAGATAAGTTCAACTTCGGATCTTTGTGAAACACCCCCTGGTAATATTGTTCAGATGAGAGAAAATGGTAATAAGGCAGTGACTTCAATGCTAGATGTACAATTTAAGATAATCTGAAAGTCTGAGTGAAAACAGACCATTATTAATGATACAAACTGGGAAAACTGATCTAATCGATTTCTTAATTCTCCCAACCATATTATTACAATTTAATTACATTTTAGGTGAATGTAAATCATCACAAAGCAATGAATTGGCTCTATATACCATTCCAGACATTTAATTGGTTAAAGAATAGAGGGTGTCGCACAGTGTCGCACAATGACATCTTCGAAGAAAACCATAAATATCTTTGTGGTTTGAGACTTTTTTCAGGATTTTTTGGATATTAGAGGGTTAATACAGTAGAAGGAATATAATAAGTAACATCTCATACAAAAATTAGGCAGTTTTTTCATCAACCTTTAACAATGTTACCGAGTCACTTTGAAAGGTAGTGTCAGCTTTTTTTTAATAGGTCTGGTAAATGACAGGCTTTATCAATAACAAAAATTCTGCAGAAAATTTGTAATCGCTTCCCTGTCGTGACGCAAAGTGTAGCAAAGCCTACCCAGTAATTCAAGTGTTGAACAATACATATATATGTCTTCATTTTCATTCCAGACACAAAACAATTATCCTGTCATACAATTTGCATCCCTGGAAGATAAATGCTTAATTGATCAATTACACATCACAACATTTCACCCTTGTATTAAGTTAGCTCATGATGATTGCCCCTAAACATGGTGGCTCAGAAAGGTTTAACCTTTGACATTTTGAGAAAATGATTTCTCTGATTTTTCTACTTACACTCAGCCAAAATTTGTACAAAACTTTAATCCCCTTTACACATAAAAGCAACTCAAACTTATTAAATTACCTGTATTAGATCAGGAATAATATAAGAGAAATAAAATAAAATGTAAGAAAGCGAGTGAACAGGAAATTACAAAAATGGAGAAGAAAAAAACAAAAAACAAAATGAAGAAATACAAATCAAAGCATAGATATCTTCGCAGCAAAGGGAAGCTTTATAAAATTCAAACAGAAAAGAAATAAGGAAGAAAATGATGACATTTTTTTTTAAAGGAAAAAATGAACTATGTAGAAGAATAAAGATAAACAGTGAAACCTGCTTTAGTGACCACCTGTCTACAAAGACCACCTGTCTACAACAAGCACATTTTTGTTTCCCTTGAAAATGGTTTCTCATTGAAACATGTACTAAAGGAACCTGTCTACAAAGACCACTTTTTGTGTTTCCCTTGGGTGGTTGCTATAGACAGGTTTGACTGTAAAAGGAAAGCAGCAAGTAGAAGGAAGAAGATTTTTTTTATTTTCAAAATATTTGAAGTACTTACAGTGAGGCAGTTGATAAGCGCAGCCTCAAACTGTCGCTGGAATGCCCTTATATCTGTACACCACTCTAGCAACTCCCTGGCTGCTGTCTGAAAACTGCTCTGATTTGACAGTTGCTAGAAAACAAAATGAGAAAGAAAAGAATCTTTCAAATTCAGATTAATTTTTATAAAGGTTTGAAATAATAATGATAATAATAAAAACTGTGCTTATATTATAAAGCGTTTATCACCAAAATCTCTAAGAATTATAACAAACAAACTGATAAACAATTACATATTAAACAAAACAAAACAAAAATGCAAATAAACCTACAAATTACACAATGTCCCAAGAAGCTTCCAAGGTGGTTCCAAACTAAACTAGGCCCAGTGCCTAGTATTCATACAAACCTACATGCTTTAGGTTATTTGAATCACAATGTTACAAATGTATTAAATTGGGTAACAAAATAACAACAATTAAATAGTTGATGTCGTATACATATCAATACATGAGTTACAAAGAAAAAGAAAATATCCATAGTTGCACCATATGTACAAATTAATTAATCATATATCATGTCATATCAAACCTGTGAATTAGCCATAACTTAATAATACGTAGAGATTTTTGTTGGATTCCTTAAAGATATATAAAAGTGTGGCTGGAATTGAAATTCACAGAGTTCCAATAGTGTATAAGTGATTCAAATAAAGGATATTTTAAACCTAAAAACTTAAAATGTTGTTAAAGGGAGAACCAAAAAATAGCACGAGTGCTAGTCTGGATTGGGTCTCTGAGTTTCTAAAACTGTATGCACAGTCATATTAAAGTATGTATTCACAATCAACAATTAAGCAGGAACATTTATTTTGCCTTAATATCATATTATTTGATTCTTATGATTCATCTCTGCTTAAGAGTTTAATTTTGAGATTTTTATGAAATGATGATCTTGTTTTTTCTTCTCTTATATTTATGGGCAAATTATTCCGCAGCTTTAAAGTGTTCCGATCACATGAAGAAAGGTAAAATGTATCAAATCAACCTAAAAATATCTTTACCTGACATTCTATAGGTAAACGGTTAAAGAATATGAAGAAAATAAAGGATAGCATAAAAACGTACCAGTCCTGTTCTTTGCAAGTGCGTGTGTCAATACATCATTACTTCTTAGTCATATTCTGTATTAATCATCTTTATTGTAATGAGATTCAAATAAAGGAGAATGAATTTAAGTAACCAAGGCCCAAGGTTTACAAATAAAATTACATGTATATGTTCCGCAGGCAGGGTAACATACAAAATACATTAACAATGTGCAGAAAAATAAAAGCGATAGATATAGATTCATATATTAGGTAAAAATGTATATTTCAAACATGCGGAGCAAAATAAACATTTTGAGGCATGACTCAGAAATCATTAACTTGAAGAGATTAAAAAATTGACAAAATATAATTGAAATATTGATAAAATTATATGGTAACTGGATATAATGAGGTTAAATACCGGGTAATATAAAAGATACTGGTAAGTGATTAATTATTTTGATATCATGTGGGTCATCACTTTGGTAGTTACGGCTATAGAAAGTTCAGTTAATAAGAAATTATCAAAGGATTACTGGTATTGTAATAGCAGGCAAAATACAAATATTTAGATATAATTATTTTTAAAAATTTGACATGTAACCAGCAACTGCAATTAATTGATTTCCATTGTTCTGAAGAAAACCCCAATCCTCAAATATTCCACAGCCTATGGGATGTGAGACAAATAAGGGTGTGTTCAAGCAATTTTTTTTATAGCTAGAATCACAAACATGAATCACATATCAAACGCCGTTAAAAAACACTGTTACTGCGGGAGAGCGTTCAAGCAAATTTTCATCAAGGCTGATTCTTGCTCATTTCAAGCCCACCCACTGCTCATCGCAGTTTGACCCAGGAAGTGTAGGTCAACTTCGCTGCATGCTTTCTGTCTGAGTTTACAGTCGAATGTCGGTCAAACCGGAAGCAAGCCACGATAATGACGTCATAGAATCATGATTGAGACCCATGTTCGTTCAAACAAATTTTAGCGACCGTGATTCTGCAGAATCATGATACAAAACGCATCTTTTTCAGCGTTTCATGTTATGTATTTTTAAACACGTTTATTTTTATGACCGATGAAAAATCGCTTGAACGCAACCATGTTTTAAACTAAACGTCTTTGAAAACCGTGATTCTAAGGTGAAAAATGTTGTTTGAACGCACCTTAGGACTAAGAACCAACTGGACTAAGAAGGACTTGGGGCTTAGGACTTTGGATTTCAGAGAGAGGTCCCTGCTTGACTTACCTTCTGAATACAAGATAGCCTCTCAATGGTCTGCAGAACATGTCTTTCCACGGACACCTCGCCAGCCATCCTTTTCTCTCCTTCCGGTCATCACTGAAATCAAACAAAACAGGTTCACTTTTACATCTCTAACATAATTACAGAGCTGCCAACCTTGTGCGACTAAAAAAAGGACCCATGAAGGCAACAAAAAACAGGAATTTCCAGCAACAAAAAGGAATTCAATAAAATAAAACTTACAACCAAGCGCGACACACTTCCAACGCATAAATGTCCATTCCTCATGCTGTTTTTTTTCTCCATATTAGGACCTATAGTTTATTTACAGGTAGGTATTATCTGCGTTTTATTCTAATAATTTTCTCTTCAAGTATATTTTGAAGTATGTTTTAACCTTAGTTTTCTATTGAATTTGTGATAAAATCAATATTTTAGGGCAGCTGTTTGACGCGCAGTATGTAAAAAAAAAAAAATATATATATATATATATATATATAAATTATTTTAAAAAACGTACTACCATAATTTGGAGGAAAAAACAGTACAATTGCAGAAAAAACGTAATGGTTGGCAGCTCTATAATTAATAATAGTCTTATTTATTCACAGAAAATTCATCATTTCAGCCAGGCAATTTCTTTTTAAATCATAATCATTTTCGTAACAGTTCCGATTTGTTTGTTTTTATTGCTATTGTTGTTGTTTTTGTGTTTCAAAATTTTCAAAATTTCAAAGTTTGTTTGTTTTTATTGCTGTTGTTGTTGTTTTTGTGTTTCAAAATTTTCAAACAAAAAGAATTCATCATTGTCGTAGTTAATCTTAACTACAAATATATTATGACTGAAATTACATGCGTTTTGTCACAATAAACTTTTGTGACTCTTGATAAAACAATATCTAAACTCTAATATATAGTTGTTTAAACAGTTTTTGTCCCTGAAGTGTGTGAAAAGTTAGGACTTTAATCAATCATAAAAAACACTATCAACTTCAGTTTTTCAATCACTGTGTTTGAACAACCTTTCAGTTGCCTAGTTTGTGGTTCGTTCGTCATCAGTCGATATTGCAAACACAAAGGGTAACAGGACAAGTTCAATTTCTACTTCTTGTCATGGTGGTGGGGGCAATTATGACAATAAAATTAACACAATTACTGTATCATATTTATGATATTTACAATAATAATCATGATAATGATAATGATGAAGATGACAATAGTAATAATACTAAGAAGAAGAAGAAGGTGAAGGTGAAGAAGAAGGAGGAGGAGAGGAAGAATACCAAAAGTAATAAAAGCTCTCGCATTGTTTTAAACTAATCGACTTGCACAAGTCTATGATAAACAGAAAAATTAAAATGATGTACATGTAAATGGCAATAATTATTAGTTGGTGTCTTGGTGATGATGATTATGATGAAGAATCAATTTCCTGAAAATGGTGATGATGATGGTGATGGTGATGGTGATGATGATGATGACGACGATGACGACAATGACAACAACGATGATGATGATGATGATGATAGAGTTTGTGATAATCATGATGTGGCAGTTATGCTGATGTGTTGATGATTACGGTATGAATGATAATAACAAACACAAAGATAGTGATGATAAAGATCATAATAAACACAGTACTAATAATGACTACATGTGCATGAACAAATCAAAATGACATGATACCAAGTTTTATTCAAAGTTTGTCTTTAAGTCTGTCTCACATTTTGAACAACATGCAATCGTACTCAAGTGAAAAGCTTTGGGGTTATTGAGAGAGATGAAATGGTGAAATATTATCACGCGTAACAAGCAGGGGAATGTAAATTGCAGCAATGTGCCACTCCGTTTCACACTTGTGTTTTCTGCTCAGTTCTCCTGTTCTCCTTATCCTCACTTTCAGAGCCATTTATGAGGGATATACAATGTAATTAGATCCTGTTTATTAAAGGGATTTGTAGATCTGGTAAGCCTGAAGATGCATAAAGATGTTTCATAGAAATTTATTGAAATTCATACACCTGCACGTGGACAAGAATATGCTATTTTTTAGCAATGTTTGAAATGAAAGATGGAACTCTTTTACCATCCATTTGGTGATTTTCAGGGTAAAGATTTGAGCAATGTCTTGTTTTTACAAGAATACAATGCTATAAGGCAAGGTAGTCTCTCTTTTCTCACTCGACCCAGGTGAGGTAAATGGGTACCTGGTAGGAATTAATTCCTTGAAATGCTAGAGCGCTGTATAATGGCAGCTAGGCTTAAGCCGGGGTAATAATAAATGCACCTCCGAATAGAATTTCTAGATAGACGGCGCTAAAGAAATGCCTATTATTATTAACAAATATCTGTAGTTTTAAAATCACATTTGTTTGGATTACAACTCAAATTCACAGTGCCAGATTTTTAAAATAACATTATCAAAGACTACATCACTTCAAAAGGAAAATGAATTTGACAAAGCAGATAAATAGAGATGCCTCTGACTCTCATGCCCAACCCTTTCTTTTTTCACTCCTCTTTTCAATCCTGATTTCCATCTCTCTCTCTCTCTCTCTCTCTCTCTCTTTGTCAATCTATCTTTAATACTCCCTCTACCTTTCTCTTATGTTTCTCTTTTTACCTGCCGATTATCTCTTGCCTCTCTGCTCTTTCTCCTCCTATATATTCCCTTTCTGAACTTTCATCTCTCGCTCTCTCTCTAACTCTACCCATCTTTCCCTCTCACTCTCTCATCTATCTACCCCTCTTTCTCTCTCTCTTCCCCAATTCAACCCTATAAAATCAAGCTGCGCAGGAAAGAGGGGCAGTGTCACCTCGCGTTGCAGGAAACATGATTTTCTATACCTCGCGCTCATCACCCTAAACAGACCCACAAGACAACTTGATCAATTCCATGCTATGAATACCCAGAGACAGAGCAAAGGATGAAACTGAGAGAAGAGAAAAAAAGATGCAGCGAGCGAGCAAGCAAGCTGGTAGCCCTACCTGCTCCGCTGATTGAATTACATTCCTTGCCGTCACGGTGAGATAAATGGACAAAAATAATTCCTCTGCGCTGACTGGCTACGCTTCCTAACACCCCATCGTATAGCAGAACAAAGATTGGCTTTCAAATCACCACCTCTATTCAGCCGAGCTGCCAAAAGAGGTTAAATACTCAGATAACTAAACGTGAACCTTCAAGAGAAATGCAAGCATGCATTATCCCAAGCCGATGCTCTGTATAATATGGCAAGATAACGTCGCATTCCCGGTGCCAATATCAACTAATTTGGGCCCACTTTTCGTGTTGACCTTAACTTGCCTAATATCAAACTAATCAAGACATTGTAAATTGTCACTTTGTGTGCTTTGGACGACCGGGAATGATAACAGTTTCAGAAATCCAACAATTCTAAAATAATCGAACAAGGAGCAAAGGGCAGGAGAAAAACAAACATCAAATAGGCTGTGGTGTGGGCCCATCATTATATAGCATCACCTTTGGTGTTGTAAAATGATGCCTTTTTATCGCCCGGGTTGTCTGGAGTTTATTGTCGGGCTAAGGATTTACATTCAATTACAAAAGACTTAGCGATCAATTGATCTCTAATTATAGGTTTGGTAGGAGTTCTGGGGGGGCTAAATGAGATCAGGTGTGCTAAGGAGGACCAATGGATTACAGTATAGAATTACCAAGGAAAGGGAAGAAGACAGACAGAGAGTCATACAAGAGATAAAGAAACAGAGGTTAAAAAAATAGAAAGATGGAAAAGGAGGTCATTTATGCCTGCATATATGCTTAAGCAGGTAATAATATAACATTTCTATTATCATGTAGCTATTAATATTCCAATGATTATTAAAGCCCCTCTAAAGTGATGGGAGCCCCAAATTAGAAGAAAAAAAATTGATGGCAAAATTCAACTTAAATTGTATAATAATGTGAAAGAGGGTGTCATTTAAGACACATTTCTGCATAGATTTACACCAATAAAATTTGTTTGAAGACAAATATTGATAAAAGAATACATTCTGTTATACCAGGAAACCATATCATATTCGACTTCAAACGCATTTGTTTTGAAAATCCTTGGAGAAATTTGTCTTAAATGCATCCTTTTTCACGTTAGAATACAATTTAAGTGAAATTTTGACATCAAATTAACACTTTAGAGGGGCTCTAAGATTATAGGCCTACGTATCTTGTTCCATTTTCACTTCATCTCCCCATCCCTCTGTCTGTCTTTCGTGCTTTCTCTCTCTCTCTCTCTCTCTCTCTCTCTCTCTCTCCTCTATCTCTCTCACTCTCACTCCTTTCTCTTTTTTTCTGTCACTCACATGATTTAAAACAGGCTTTCTGATCAACTTCAAAACTTCTATTAAATGGAAGATTAAACTATGATTTCTCAACAATATTTTCAAATAAACTTGGCAGTACCGAGATGAAGTGACAAAGCATTTTCAATAAGAAACAAAGTGTGGTTTGGGTGTTTATTTTGTGTTATGTCAAAGCATTGGACTTTGCCTTGTGGTCAATTCTTGTTGTGTAATCTACATGGTATCCAATAAATAATTAAGGAAATGTTCCATTCTACGGTCAATACAACTAGAACAAAGAATAGTTCAGTGGATTAAAGATGAAGTTGAGTTCTGGTCATGCGATTGCATTGTGAAAGAAACGGTGTGGAATCGACCAGAAAAGGTTGATCATCTGGCATATAAGAATTTGTGTGTATTGCAAGGTTCTGGAATCATCAAAATGATAAGAAATTTGGCCAAGTCTTCGGAACTACAAACACTGGACACAGAAAGATGTATATGGGACTATACGAACACGTGGCGTAAAAATCCCACCCCCGAGTTTTACGATGTTACATGACATATTTAGAATATGAAGGCATTTGAAGAGCCATGCTTTTCAGGGAACATGTTTTATCTAATGTTCTTCCACACTTGCATAATAACAATGATAACGCTCACAAATTATTTTTCACCTCTTCCCAGAACTCAACTTTCTCTTTAATTAATACTCTGGAAGTTGAATTAACATGGTCACAAAGACTTGTTTTTAAATGACCCTCATGCAATTTCAGTACCCCTATCCATCATCTATTGAAAGGTTGTGAACATTACAATGCACTCTTATGTAATTTGAACAATATTTCTATAGGATAAACAATGGGGTCTTAAAATTGCCCTTGAATTGATTTCAAGGAAGTGTTTGAGATTGTGTTAACAGCATGACATGCTCCAGTTAAGAATAGCTCTGCGAGCGATATCCCACCGTCCCCGAATTCCAAACTTAACTCTGGACCAACACTTTATCTTAACTTAAACCTGACCCTTATCCTGCACTTAAACGTAAATCTAACTATGTAAAGTATAATTTCTGATATAAGCAAACATTCCTCTGGAACATTACAGGTTTCAAAAGAGGGGCACTGAGCAGTTAGTTAGCCCCGCCCCCCCCCCCCCACCCCCAGTGATGTGACCTCTTTCTTCAACATTTTTGTCATAAAATATGTGCTTCCCTTTTTTTCTCTTTTTCTTTTTACAAAAACATGTCCTCTCCTGGGGATCTCCTGAAGGGGTAAAGCCTGCCTTCCTTTTCTTATTTGTTGGGGGTGTTTCACAAAGCCTTTTTTCAATGACAAATTTCAAAAATCAGTGACAAATCTGCTGATAACCAATCAGAAGCAAGCATTTCAGTAGCTTATAACATAAACTGTCATTTGTCACTGGTGACAAGTTTTGTGAAATGGGGCCCTGGATGCCCCTCTGCTTATAATTCACTGTGTGATCATTCTGTACATGGATGATGACATGAAAACATTTTGGTTCCCCTATCTATGCCTCCTCATTGACCACTATTTGAGGAACAGTCAGAGTGCTATTGAGACTGAATTCCCTAAACATGTTGCTTTCATCTAGCCTTCAAACACAGACTCCAGCTTATCTCATTTTATATTTAAAACTTTAGTTAAATCTTCACTATCTTCATGAAAGGCTGCACATCATTTTAGAGATGAAGAAGGAGAAGAAGAAGAAGGAGAAGAAGAAATAGAAAAAGAAGAAGAAGAAGAAGAAAAAAAGGAGAAAAAGAAGAAGAAAAAAAAGGAGAAAAAGAAGAAGAGGAAGAAGAAACTACAATACCCCCCCCCCCCCCCCGTCAATTTTTTTTTTGTTTAAACTTGTTATTGGAGCTTTCGCAATTTGTTTGGGAGTGAATAAGATTGATGAAAGTTTGGATGTGTTATAGTGCAAAATAACTGATTTACAATATTGAAATCTCTCTAACTTTGTAAAAGTGTCTAGCTCTAAACACAGCGGTCCTTAGCAATATGTGCAAGCTCCTGGTTTTACATCAATTAAACAACATTTGTGTAAGGAAAAGGAAAGGTGTGGCCATCAGCTCGAGGTTGCCAAATAACGTGCTATTTTCAAAATCGGGATATTATCCCAAAGCTTGAAATTACGTGTTCACCAGACCGATACGCTCATCACAAACTAGCTCGGACGGGCGCAAATTTCCCATATAGCGAGATATTTTAGAAACAGGACCAAGAATTCTCGGGAAATTTTCTCAACTAAATATACCATGACATTAATGTCCTCTGACAAAAAATCAATGATTATTTTCCACACTTTTGTTTTCACATACCTTTCATACCATTTTAGTTTGTACTAAAACAATATTAAGTATCTTTACAACATGACTTAGCCCAGTGATCAGCTTCCTGTAAACTCCTCTGGGTTCAAAAGAGATTCACTTCTTTGAGATAATGATTGAAGTTAGCAGCTACACAACAATAGGATTTGATTCATCCATGACTAAAAACCACACCAATATGACCTGCCAGGGTTTGCGTATGAGAACTAGCATCCGACTTTGAAGAGATGCCCATTGACACGCTACCTTGGCAACCCCTCCTTGCTCCTGATCCAACGCCAGCATTGGAATGCTAATCAGGACTCGAGAGGCCTGTCTTCATCAGCTCGAGATTGCCAAATAGCCTGCTATTTCTGATTTGGGAAATAATCCCGAAGTTATAAATCGCGTCTTCATCAGCTCAAGATATTTTGCTCAGCGTTTGCTCAGCGTTTGCGCATAGTGCGAGTCTTCGAGCTGGTGAAAAAGCACCACAAAAATAGCGGAATATTTTGCAAACTAGCCCAAGATATCATGGGATGATTATCTCGACCAACTGTCCCGCTAATTGCAACTTCGGGCTGATGAAGACGTAAATTAACTGAATAGCGATCAGGATAGTTCAGATAGCAGGATATTTGGCAATCTCGAGCTGATGAGGACAGGCCTAAGGAGAAGATGTTAGGAGGAGATGCTGGGATAAGGACAAACCGGGAGTAGCGTTTTGACATTTGAAAACCTTGTTGTCTGTTTACCGTGTTGCTTCAAGTTTATTGGCTGTCATCACACGAGGCGAGGCAACAAGGACATAAAGATGTGTCCCAACATAACACTTTAAAGCCCTACTGTACTACTTATAGCTACTTGCGCCCTCTATATAGCAAACAATGCCTAATCAGTGCATGTTGGTCCCCCATGATCCTCTTTTTCTTATGTTAAAGGTAATACAAAGTTATGGTATGGGGTCATGAATTTGGTTCAAATGAACATATTGGAAGCATGTACGATCCTACAATATTCAGTGATCGTTGTCGCGGTCGGAATCAACCCTAAATTTATGAAATTGTAAATAATAAACACTTAATGTTGAATAGCTCCCTCTCAAGGTCAAGATATTAATTAAGCTATAAAACAATGTTTATTGACTAAAATTGACCGATTAGCTATTCTCGTTCGGAAATGATATACCATAACTACATACTCTGGGATTTTCATGGTCGCAGCTACTATTGTACGGCCGTAGGAGCTATTTGACATTTTTCAAAATTTACCGGGAGCACCGGTAAATCTTTATATTCTATTTTTCTCAAAAGCAGAAGTGTTTTAGGAACTAAAATTTCTGGTGTTTTAAATACATCCACAGGGGCATCCAAATATATCAAAATTGTAAAGAATCACTATCCACCCATTTTTCAAAATTTCCCAAAACTTTGTAATACCTTTAATAGAGAGCTGATTTGATGAGATAACCTCCCGTCAGCGACCATGCAGGGAGGTCTAATCCCCATGGCCAAACAAGTGAGAGGTGTGAGGTGCATTAGAATGTGGAGATA